ACTCTTTAGGGGCCAGAATTGGGGTGTGCAGTATGGAGCATCCTTGAGCTACTGAGAAATGTTTAGAGAGACGAAACCTGCCCATCACAGAGAGGTTGAAGAGACCTTAAGAAAAAGATGCCCAAGTCACAAGCTGTGCCAGAAAAGGATTCTGGGGTAACAGGGGGGCAGAGACCCCAGGACCCAGCTCTGCTTACCACAGAGAGGCCTAGGCCCCACCAGCCCCAGAGACTCCTCCCCTGAAGAGGATTTGTCCATTCATCCCAGAGGAACCTGGGGTGGAGAAGGGTAGCCTCCAAGCCCAGCTGCCCCAAATCAGAAGCAGTCCAAGTGGCTGAGGTACCCCTACCTGCGTGGCCATGGGCACCCATGTACCAGCAGAGGCCCACGACCTACCCATGGACACACCAGAGGCCAGCACACAGGCCCGTTGGCTGTGCGAGCCTGCAGGAAACAGCATCCACACAGCTGCACTCTGCACACCAAACGCGCAGGCCGCCTCTGGCTGCGGGCCGAGGCCTGAACACACCACACCATACACTCTCCCCCAGGGCACGGGTCCCTGCCCTGCCCCTCCCACACAAAGCCCACCCGATCTCAGTGAGAAAGTCCTCAACACGATTGCCCAAACTAGGCTACAGACCTTCCCAGAATCAAAGACAGGGACTGAAGGAAGAGAGGGCTGTGGTGCAAGAGGGCTGGGATGGAGGGCAGGAGGAAGGAGAGGGAAGGGAGATTTGGGCCTGGGGGCCTGGGAAGAGAGTGGGATGGGGGAGGAGGTGGGGATGGAAAAAGGAGGAGGAAGGGGAGGGGTAAGAAGCAATAGGAGTAGGGGTGGAGGCAGAAGGAGACGGGGTCGTGGGCAGAGTATTGAGAAATGGGAGGATGGGCAGAGGAGACACGAAGAGGGGATGGGATAGGCAATGAGAGGAAAGATGGGAGGAGGGATGCGGCCACGCGGGGCGCTGAGCACTGGGTGGGGACCGGGATGCGGGGGGTCTGAGCGCAGGCATAAGTGACGAGTGGGGTTCCGGGGCGCAGGAAAGGGAGGCGCCGCCCAGCCCACCCACCTTCACGGGCAAGCACGAAGCTGACCTCTCACCCTCTCGCCCGCCCCGGGCCGCGCAGACCGGCGGAAGCGCTGCTCCTGCAGCCGCCACAGGTGCCCAGCGTAGCGGCCCAAGATGGAGCCGAGCCGGACCTGGC